TTTGACCATTTTCCTCTCGTCACGAGGAATCAAACAGCCTTCCAAACGCGACCGATCGTTTTTAAAATGAATATTTCCAGCGACTCGAATAATTTTTTCTTTTTTTTTTTTTTTGATTTCAATCTTTAACAAACAAAGCGACATAGCGTTTCGAAAAGAAAATCCGGATAATAAACGGTTTGTTTTCTTTCCAGGTCTGTTCGGTGCAAACACGGAACGAAACGGAAAGCGAATCGAGACGACGTAAACGAGAATCATATTCGATGAATCGTACGAAGAAAACGTTCAAATCCTGCTCGAATTCGACGAAACGTTTCGCGAGCGTGCACGAGGATCGGTGTGTTGATGCACTAGATGCACGACCACCGACTCGAAGTCTAGTTGGGTATCCCTCTCGCTCGACGAGGAAAACAAAACGACTTCGGTGAAAGAAGGTACGTGGATGCTTGCACGGAGGGCACGGAGGTGGAGATGATACTAGACGAGGAGACGAGGAACAGGGGAGGGGGAGGGGTGAACGTGGAGAAGCTGAACACCCTGGGGAGCCGGCAGCTCGTTACGCGAGACGTGGTACGCCTCTCCTTTCCTCCCCTTTCCACACCCTCTTCCTCCCCCATCCTCTTCCGCCGCCCTATTCTCCTTTTCTCTCCGCTCCCTTCTCCGTGATTCTCTCCTCAAACCTTGATCCTTTTGCACATCTATCTCCACTCGCTCCTCCCTCGCCCCACGTTTTCAAGGTAGCGCCACTCTGAATAATGTCCCACGTACACGTTTGTGTCTTCCCCCCCCCCCCCCTCCCCTCTCTATATACGCACGTATCGCTACTCGGTAACAAGTGGATATTATGCTGGCGCGGCTGATGCTGCCTCCCTGAACTTTGCTGAAGGGGATGATACCGATAAGAAGAGGGGATAGATACAGCTTATTCGAATTCGGTTTCTAAGCTTTTAGATTGCGCGTACAATCGATCGTATCTCTCTTCTAATTGATATTCGTTCGTTATATGATATAATATAATTCGTCAAATCGAAATTATTATATCGTGGTGGATAAATGTTCGAGGAAAGTATCGAGTTTTCGTCATCTCTCACTGAGATATGATGAAACTATCACGCGTATCACGCGTGGGATTACTCGAAGCAACAACTGTGCACGAATGTCTTTATGAATGTTGCATAGAGATACATAGACGAACTTCTTCCAGGTAATAACAAACAACATCCTCGCGAAAGTTTATCGAACAAAGAGGAGGAATAACAATTCGAGAGATATTTCACCCTTAACATTTCTCCCTCCCTTCCCCCCTCCCCTATCAACATTAATTTACTACCAGTTTATCCCGAAACTTGTTCTACTGTCCTTACGTTTCAAAATAAGTTAACCGTTCGTTGTCAGAACTTTTCGCATAAGCGTAATCAAGTTGCCACTTCGGAACAGGATAAATTCACGCATTCAAGCTCGCGTAAACGTAAATAACGATCAATTAAACGATCTCAATTGTTATGAATCAATCGCGCTTTACCTCGAAGTCGTAGTCACAGTTTGGATTCAATCACTCCGATCTCTTTGTCCTTCTTTGCTGACGTATGAGTTGCGTGCATTCAACAGCGATAGACAATATATATGTATAAAATATATATAGATATAGAATAGCAACCGATGAGAAAAGAAGAAGAAGAAAAAAAAAAGAAAAGAGAAGAAGAAGGACGCCGAGGCGTTCTTGGAGGACTCGGTAATGACTGTCGCTACTTTTCCGCCGTGTCGGAAGCGCATTGCGCCATTTCCGCTAGTCCGGAAGTGCGGTAACAAAGCGCTTCCGGCACGAGGTCTCGAGGAGGTTGTTACGACGGGCGTTGTAGCGTCGTAGGGGGAGAGGGGAGGGAGGACAGTCGGTGACATTTCAATGAACTTTGCGACGCAGCCATTTTCCCCATAAAGTTCATCAGATTTAACATGTGTTTCGGGGGAGGGAGGGAGGGGTTGACGAACTTCTCGCGCTAAATTTCTGTCTTCATCGAGGAATATCAGAGAGACCGTGTAATATCCTCCCGTAACCACGGTTGCTGAACACGGGTCGGTCGGTCGGTCGGTCGGTCGGTCGGTCTACAACCGAGTTCCAGTAAACGTCGCTGTCTTTCACTTGCTTTTACGATGAATCAGAAAAGAGAAGAGTGTGCGTTAGTTAGCCGATATGAAAATGCATGAAAATATCATTTTACCAACCGCTCTATTATAACCGTGTTGAAATATTTACATAATGAAAATAATGTACACGGGGGGGGGGCGGAGGGGGAGGGGTAAGAGGGAGAGGGTTCATGGAATATTCATAATCCGATGAATTATTTCACGTGAAATATTCTATTAATAAGCGGTAATTGTTAATTTCTATCGGGCCATTTGTGCGGAATATTGTTTCAGTAATAAAATGTAATACGTACTTCGAACGACGGTTTTCCATGTAGACACGAAGACACGAAGACGATTATCACGCGTTCACTTCAATCTCTATTACGGGGCGAAGAAAGAGGTATACGTTGTAACAGCGTCGTTAAGAAAAATAAATAAATAAACAAACAGAAAAGTTACAAGGAAGTAGCGAGAAAGTATCGCGCTATCATTATCGAGGAGGAGCAGAACGTCCTTTGATCAATCCTTCGATCCGATTTAACGAAAGAACGTAAACCTACGCTTCCAACCAAGGCTCGTAAGATTTCCTTCAAGGATCCTCCCCCTCCGTTCGGCGGGGATTATCCACGCGAGGGAACGCGAAGATTTGTTTACGCTCGCTTCCGCCTGTTATATCCGCTGATCCCAACATCGAAATAAAAGGAGAAATCCTCCCCCCTCCTCCCTCCCCCCCCTCACCCGGGAATGGGTATACGATGACATCTATTATAGCGTCGAATTATCGCCGCGTGGATCGCGCCAGACATGCCGGTATCGTATCGTGCGCGTGGCCCAGAAAGCTGGCAACGATCCCAAAACTCGAAACGGAACGCGTGCATCCGTATTACTTTTTCGCGGAACGAGGTTTCGCGGAGGAGAACGGGGGGAGGGGAGGGGTCGAGGCCAGTGCAGCCACCGCCATTTTATGAAAATTGCACCGCCCGTTCCAGCTGCCCCCGAGCGTTCAGCCGAAATATGTTACTCCCATCTCGCGATTAATAGTCGTTATTTTATTTCGAATACGCGCTCCGTTGCACGCGGGATGCTTCGCGAGGATGATCGTTTCCCCCTCCCTCCCCTCCTCTCCCTCGTTGTTGACTTTTTTCTTTGTTTGGTACGGTGTTTTGCGAACCATGAAGTATTCTCGATTAGAAACAGTAATCTCGATTAAAGATTGTACAACGTTCTGTCAATTCAGGGAAGTGTATAATTTTATCGTAAAGAAACGTTAGGATAATTGTTAGGATAATTTCGTTTAATGAGTATTACTATTAAAACGATTCTTATGGTTATTAATTTCAAAGGGACATCGAACAAATTAATTTTTAAAAATTTCCACGGGAATTCGACGGATTAAAACCCACGCGTGAATTATTCACAAATTACTCACGGTCGACATTCACGAATAATCTCTTCCCTCCTCCTCCTCCTCCCTCCCCGTGAGAAGAATCCAACAATTTTTTTTCCAAAGCACACCCTCTCCCCCCCATCCTTCCCCCCGCCATTTCTATCTTATAATAGCGCAAATTGGCGCCGTTACACAGCCGAATCCTCGCAACAGAAATAACAAAATTTTCATCGAGGCAATCCGCCGTCCGATCGAACGTGCGGCTCGTTAATATCCCGGGATACGTGATTACCGGCGGCGGCGGCGGCGTTGAATCGTGATTTCCCCGTTCGCGTCATAATTTATGCGCTTCCGGCTTTTGACGTTGAAATGAAATAAAATTGGGGAGGCGACGTTGGCGGCCCCGTTCGCCGTTCTGGCCAAAAAGCGAGAAGAAAAACACGGAACGGGGTGGGTTGGAGGGGGAGGACGAAAGGGATAGGAACGGGGAGAGAGGGAGAAAAAAGAAAGAAGAAAAAAATGAGCGAACGAGAAAAAGAAGGGAAGTGCGGGAGGAGAAACAAGGAGAAAGAGAGAGAAAAATGACGAACGCACGGGCGACGAGCTGTCAGAGGATTCCGTTGAAAAGAGTCCGCTCGAAACGAGTTGGTGGAACGAGTTCGACAGACATCGAGAGAATGGTGGTGAAAGGGGTGGCGGGTCAGGGATCGTGTCGGTTAGGGGTTAGGAGAGGAGGGAGAAAAGGGTACAATTAAAATTAGCGCAATTCAGTCACTCTCGCCGGTAATTCGCGTGCCTGGCATTTATATTATTAAGCCGCGCAAATTTCTCTCGCCTCCCCTTTCCCCCATTTCCACCCAGAATCGCGCGGATCCCACACACTCGACCCTTCTATCCCGTGTACGTGCACGAATTTCTACGGATGGCCGCGCGTTTGTGGCTACGCTCTCGTGGGTGGATGAATGTGCGCGCGCGCGTTGCACTCTGCCTCTTTCCCTTTTGCTATCGTTCCATCCTCGTCCCAATCTCCACGATTCAGAGTCTCGCGGCGAGAGAAGAGTTTCGGCCGTGGCTCTAAACGGGCCGACCGGGTAAGAAAATAATTCCGAGTTTCGAAATGAATTACATTTAATTGCCCTTATTACGAGGAGAACGAGGAGAAGGAGACTTTATTATTCTCTCCCCTCTCCCCCGGAGAGAGGTCCCTTTCTCCCCGTCTCTTGCTCCTCCACCTTTCAACCTCCCCTCCACTCTTTCAAAGCTCACGTCTGCCCCTTAGCTACTTCCTGTCCGCAGTCTGGCTTATCTTTTAGCACCTGGCTTCTCCTTATCCAAAGGAGTTTTTCATGCGTGAGGGAAGTAAAGTTCGCGGGAGCTGCTTCGAATGCGACGATTGTCATCTCGCGGATTTTGGGGAGAGAGAGAGGGGGTGGTGCTTTCGCGGCGGCGCTACCAATAAAAGATACCAGAAGAAAGTTTCCCTTACCTTTGGATGTGTTCTCCTGGGAAACGCTACCTTCGGGTCGATCTGAAACGAAAACGAGAAAGAAAATATCAGCGTGTTGCTTGTGCTCGAGGTGACAATGCTAGCGTATACTTGGTTTAAAGACTCTATCTATTACTCGTATTATCATCTTTCAAAATGTATTCTAACAATCTCGCATAATCTAGCACGTGAAATAAGCGACTCGAGATTATAAATATTTATCGAAAATACTTGTTCGGCGAAACGTTTCGAGGATCTCTTCCGAGGAATCGAAATCGAGGAAACGTAGGAAAAAGCAAAGGAATGGATAAACAGAGGAAGGAGACAGAACCTTTGGTTTTTTCGAAACTCCCATTACGATTAATTACCGGGTAATAAAAAGTAGAATACTGTGAGCGGAGGTACATCCCTGAGGCGCACAGTGGAGGAACCGAACTCTCGACTTTCTCACCCCCTATCCTCCGCTCAGTTTCCTACGTTTGTCCTTGGGGAGCGGGTCGAACGTAACCGCACCTTACGCTCTACGTGGCTAAAAAGCAAAAAAAAAAAAAAGACTCACCCCTCGCTAGGTGGCGTGAACGAGTTGGGGGGATGGCGAAGCCATGGAATTCCCGGTGCAACCACGGCGTAAATTCTTGCCGCGAAATCGAGCCGCTCGAATGTTCGTTCCGGCTTCCCCCGTGACCTTACCTCTCACGAGCTTACGCGCGTGAACCTGCACGCGAGGACGTGACCGCAAAGGCGTCGTCGTTCGTGCGCTTCGAGAAGAGCTTCGACGAATTTGAGGCGGATTCGTGAAAGGGGATGCGCGTGTTTCGTCCGCGTATCGCGAATAAAATGATAGTCGAAGAACGGGATGAATAAGAATTCTCCTCTCGTTGGTGGAGGATTTAGGATTTAGAATGCTTGACTTATCGTATATCGAATAATCCGTGGAAATAATAGGGATTGTGGACATAGGTTGGGTGGATCGTGAAATGATTTCCAATGATCTTCGAGCGAACTTCGTATGAACTTCTTAAACAATCTTGATCCGATTTTTAAACGATTGATTGGTATATTTTAATAAACTTGTTAATAAGATTCATCAAATGGGTTTAATGGATGAAATATGGATAATTTTAGGTTATTCAAAAAATTTAATACTCGACTTCGCTTATTTGATATCAAAAATAGTTGCATTAAATTTTTCAGGAGAACCTTGTCGACTCGACTCGAGGCGTTATATTATTAATTTACAAAACGAGAATGCTTGTAAAAATTGAGAAGCGTTTTCTAACGTATCGTTGTTCGCTCGAGATATTACGTACACTGCAAATAATAATTCTAGGCGTGCGTTTAATATTTAATTTCCGATCGCGTGAATCGGCGATTTTTTATCAGATTCCCCCGTTGCATTGCCAAAACTGGGTCACTTTTTTTTTGTTTTTATCGTCCAACTCAGGAGGGGGACGAAGTTGGGAGATTTTTTTATCGCCTGAGATCCCAGGTCACCTCTATCGTCGAAAACACTTCCTCTATTTATTCAGCTTTCAAGGATTTCCACCGCGAAGAGATTCAATCTCCTTTTATCCTTTAAAAAACTTGCCAAACGTTCCTTCCTCCAAATGTATCGTATATTTTCGTTTCCCTTATTCGAGACAACTTAATCTATTACGCTTAAAAAAGAAATATTAACACAGTGACAGGTTCTTGGTTGGAGAAGCGCGATCCGGGAGATGATTTATGATAATCTCACTTCCGTGGAGGATCGTTTGGGTTTCAATTTTTCACAGCCATTTATCGGAATCAATTACCGGGGAATCCACCTACTTCCTACGTCTTACTCGTGGAATCTATTCAATTCGTTTCGATGGAGGTATCGAATAATCAGCGGTTTTCATAAAAATCCTATGGAACCTCCTTTCCACGTTACGATGCAACGGTAAAATTAAGATGAATGTCTTGCGAGTAATCCAGACCGACGAAAGACACTTCATATTTCACATCCTCTCTTGAAAAATATATATATATATATATATACATAAATACAGATGCTTTTGTATTTTGTGCGTATCAGAGAGAAATTTATCAAATGTCTATATACTTTCAATGAAATTCGGAACAACATTTTTCTATTTTAATGTAATTATGAACATTGATAAGAAATTGATCATTGCTAAGGAAATTGTGAATATAAATTTAATATTTCTAAAGACACGACGATTATATTCAATGATTCAACAATGCATTCCAGTAACATGTAATAATATCCATATCTCTCTCGTGACAAAAATATCGCTTTCATTTATAAAACTTATATAACTTTAATATTCCTTGGAGGAAGCAAAATAAGTGATATCAACCACTCTTAATTCCCCAAAGAAAGTTAAAAAATATTACTCCATATATATATATATCTGTTTACCGAAGAATACACTTCTTCCACGTATTAAATTATACAAATTGTTTATACAAATTTTACAAATACATCGCATTGTTCATTTAATCATCGCTACGTTTACGCAACATTATTCGTAACAGACCATTAACATCATTACGTTGAATTCCGAGGGAAGCAGCAACAACTTAATAATCCCTTAAAAATTAGATCCGATCCAGCCACGAGGCTATATAATTTTTGCCGGGGCAAACTCTTCACAAAGTCAATCACTTTGTAATCAAAACACGCATCTCGCGCTCAGACAATTTCTCCTGGAGGGGGGGAATTAATTTTAAACAACGATCTCGCGCCACGTTCTCGAACTTTAGCTTATCCGCGAGCGGCCGCGATAGGTAAGAGAGAAGAGGTAGGTGGAAGCCACGAACGTGGTAATGACAAGCAAGAAAACCCGCCTCTATCCACCCGCCACCGCACCAACGACGTCGTTTCTCACTCCTCTGTTTTCTCCCTTTCCCGTTCTCCGACCCACCACCCCGTTTGCATAATCCCCCACGGCAAAGTTCACACCGGTCGCTCGCACGCCCCCGGACGCCCTGAAGCACGTCAACCGGCGACGTTACAAGGACGGAGGAAGGAAAGTCCTTACGATTCTTTCTCCTCTTCTGACCCCTGCCTCGCGATCGAGAAGAAGGAGGAAGGCGAGAGTTTCGAGCGACAAGAACTTTCATTCTTTGGATCATCCAGAATGTCGCGAATTTGAATTTGCGAAGAGTCATCTTTGCTCACGGACCATTCTACGAGGCTAAATTAATCGCGGTATAATTTCGTTCGTAATTTCACGAAGAAGGAGAAGTTTCTTTTTTCCCAAAAGTGAGTTATATTCTCATAGTTTTTCGTGTCTAATTGGATGTTAAAATATTTTAATATCGAGAGAACAACCGAAGCAGTAGAAATTTGTCGTCGTTCGATAAATCCTGTTCATCCATCCACGGGATTATCTTCGATGCCATCCTCCATGCCGTGGACAAAAACAAAGGAACTGCGCGTTGGAAAAAAAAAGATATATAGAGAGATGGGTAGAGGTATCGAGAAATCGAGAGGCTCGGGGCCATTCTCGCGAGCATAACCCGGTTACCCGATATCGGTCGAAACGATCGAGCCCCGCCAACCAATCGACAACAAACCAGAAGTAAGAAGAAGAAGAAGACGTCGAACGACAACGACGACGATAGAAATTCAATCTGGTTGGCACGCCTGGAAATTGGGAGAGAGAGCTACCTATTCTCCAACGATCCGGCTCATTCTAGGATACTTCTCCCCCGCAGTGCGAAAGCCTCCTCCTATCGGCCCTTGGAAAAGTAATCTTGGAGAGAGAGAATCCTTCCTTCCTTCCTTCCTTCCTTCCTTCCTCCCCTCCTATCCTCTCGAGCTAACGGAAGAGACGGCGAGAGAGAGAGAGAGAGAGAGAGAGCTGCATCCAGCAGGATAATACGAACGAGAAATTTCACACGCGAATTCGCGGTAATTCCAGCGGAATTCAAACGCCACAGCCGGGGCTGCGCTTGTTAAATTGTTGCCACGTAAGTTGCTCGGAGGAGGGTGGAGGATGGAGGGTGTGGGATACGGAGCGGAGGCACGCGAGCGAGAGTGTTATTAAAGTTTAAATTATGAACGCAACGGGCGGAACGATTAAAAACGCGCGTGCGACGCGGCCTCCCCGCGGGAGGGGCGGGAGAGGGGGTGAGGAGGAGGGGGAGGGGGATCCCCGAGAGTGGTAATCAAGAATTATGGTTGGTCCCGTTGATGTTATGCCCCGTTATCAAACTAGATTTCTATGAACGGTGTATCGTAAAGGGGCGTGAATAGCAAATGAATCTGGCAACTTTGACGATAAATATTCCGTGTCCGCGCGCGCTTTATAGCTGATCAGAATGCAAATGGATTTTGGGAGAGGTGGAATGCCGCCGTTATTTAGGGCGGCCACCGAACGGTTTCCGCGCGCGGTTCCTAATTATTTCCGCGTTTATTTTCGAATTTGTCCTTTTCGCGAGAATTCGAATATGGAGAATCGAGCGAAAGTGAATCGAACGTTGAACGTTGTTGATAGGTAATGTCTGATCCAAAAAAAAAAAA